ACAGTCGTAATGAGAACTATACCGTGTTTATTGATATTCCACAAGTTTATCAACTAGAATGCAATAAGTAGGTACCTATCCCATTATAATGCATAAACCATCTCGAAATAGAATAATGCCAGATTGATAAGGCCGTAAGTTTACTCATGTAAACTTGCGGCCGTATCAATCTGGCGTTACTGATAACCTTATACCTACAAGTAAATGGCGAATTTCCTCATTATTATACAGTTCATATCTCATTATTTCGCTAAGAATTCAGAACAGTTTGCATTCTAGTAATTTTAATTATATAATTATTTTTGTGGTGTAGATTTAATGGTTTGTCTAGTCTTTCTATAATCACGGGTTCAATCCCCGCACAACAAGTACAAAGATTAGTGTTCATCAGCAATTCATTTAGTGAGATTACGAGACTGGTCATCATCCTGTAACAACAATCTAATCCAACAACAACAAAGTCCAACATCTATCCTGTATAAATTATATCTATCCTATATTATTCTCAAATTTTAATAATGATTAATATTCCTTATTTTTTATTATAATTTCATATCCGTTGACAAAGCTGAGAATTACATCCAGGTACTTTTATTTTACACAAAACGAAAAAAAATAATTGACATTATTGGCCATATTGAATATTTGCAATTAATTTGTATAAACAGCTGATCTTATTCATCATCTGATTTGTTTCTGCTTTTCTTAAATTTTTTTAGTCTTATGTTGTATTATCATAAAAGTTGAAAGTTAATATGAGTCCTAACTATCAATGTGTGTGTGTGTAAAGTATTATATATTCTATTCTTTTACGAAACTTAAAGGCAAAGTAACTGGTAAGCGTCGCCTATATTCATGGACAATACCACGGACATCATGTTATGATATAATTCCCGATGCTTGGTTTCAGAAATAAGTAAGACAGAAGTACCTATGCTTTTTATAAAGTCGATCTCGCTTTAAAGAAGTCGTCAGTACCTACTCTATTGCTCAAACTTGTGTGCATTAGCGAAGGAAAGGGAGAATTTGAGCCACTGAAAAACTTTACGGCCATTTCAGGTAAAAAAATACAATATGTTTTTCGTTCTTCAGCGAAACTTAATCAGTTTAAAAAAATATGAGCTGCTAGTACAATTTTTATTGCTTTAATAGTTATCTAAGTTACACAGCGTCACGTGCATTTTAAGGTATTATATACAAAAATAGGCATATAACTAGGTACTTACCATTCGTTAGATAAAGATTTAAATGTGTAATATTCCCTTATCTGTAAATTAAGATATCGTTACATCAACGGAGCCATTGTGAATTTATAGGCATGGTGTCAGATTCTACATAATGATTAGATAACAAACTCCTGAGTACATAATTTTGCTCCTTTAGAGCACCGTAAGCGTTTTTTTTTAATATTGAACTGATGCCCGCTATTTCGTGTGCTTAGGATTAGTAATTGCAGTAGTCATTTTAATTTTTACGTGACTTTTATATCATTACTTTGATAATTAATTGATTCCTCTTTCCTTAACTTTGAATTCACCCTTTCCAGATCCTCGTTATACAATATCTCTTCAAATCCATTAAGACGTTCAGCTATTTAGTCGTGATAAGGTAACAGACAGGGGCATTTTGTCTCTTTTAATATTAGCCGTTACCATCGACTTCATCTTACTTTATTCAGATAAAAGATAGGCTATGTTCGTCGTCGTAATATAATTTACCTTTAGCTCTTTAATTAGGTTTTATCTATTCAGCGGTTTAGTCAAGAATTAGAATTAAAATAAACATAAGAAACACAGTAAAACTATAGTATATATTAGCACAGACGTATAATATTAGCACAGATAACATAATATTAGATTTGTGATTCGCAACGTGCCATGAAATATTTATTTCACAGCCAAATATAATTCAATGATTTTCAGAGATGCATAATACTTAATTAGTGCAAAGACAACTAGTTAACGTGCCGTTCATATATCTGCAAATATTCATGAGGTTCCTGTTTACATCAGTTTCTATTTGTGCATATCGAAGCATTATGAGAATTATAAGCGACAGCGAATTACAAGCGGAGGGCGGGAGGAGTGTGATTGTGAAATTTGCATGCATCAAATTGTCCATTGTACTCATTATATTAATTAATTTTCAGATTAAATATTGAAATGATAACTCAAGTACTTTTAAGTGGATCATTGGCTTGTGTAATAGAACACACAAGTATATATAAAATATTGGCTGCCCCGCGAACTTCGTTCCGCCTCAGAATTGAATAATATTCTTTGACTAAATGGCATGGCAAAATAAAATAATTCTTATTACTACTTTCCATGCAATTTCTTAATATTTTCTCACCACGTAAACCTTCGTTGGAGTTCTACAAATATTTCAAATCCAAAATTAACCAGTACGGACCGGCCGTTCTCGAGTTTTAGCAAGATTAACAAACGTCATTTAATTTTTATAAAAAAGAAGACTATCTAGCGTGATCGACTGATGTGATTATAGCATCTATTGATATATTAGTATTGTATTAAATTCCTTTTTTTTACGAACTCTAAAAATATGAACGTAAAAAGCCTTTTCTTTGGTTAAAACACCATTTTTCTCAAACTCCTATAAATTAAATAGAACTGCTGCAAATTAAGCGGCCTAAAAGTGGGTCGTCAAAGTATAGATATCTTAAAAAAGAAATATTCCAATAAGAATGAATTTTCCACAAAACCTGAAGTTTTAGGGGTATTTTGGCAGATATATATATTTGGACAATACCAGGCAGTTATCTGGTAACACAACCATATTAGGTCGATCTCCACATGGTTCTAAAAGCGCTCATATCTAGTTTATTTGAATTATTATTAATTTTATTGTATCCTCTTTTTACTTAAAGGCCTATACCTAAAGAAAAACAGTAACGTGTTAAACCGCTATAAAACCAAGGTCGCTAAACAGGTAAATAAGTTTGAATGTAGTAATTTTTATAGCGTAACTATTGAACATATTTTGATTTTCTATTTTCTTAAGTATAGATAAGTATGAATATTATTTTGTACCTACATCTTAATACATAACAATATTTGTACTACTAATATACGATTCAAACTAGGTATACTTACCGAGCGAACATATGTTGTGTTCAATATAACTTTAACAATTGACAATGCCTCTGATTATTCCATCTCGAATAACAGTCGTGACGTTATGTTATGTTGTTATACTTATGTATGAGATATAGGAAAATAAGAATTTTCCTATTTCTATATAGCTATATTATAATAGTATGTGTTGGTAAGTAAGTGTTATGCTTTATCGTTTTAGGTATAGTTGTTACATGTAGGTAGGTATTTTTTATATGCAATATTGCACATAAAAAAATAACCTATGATATTTTCATATCAGCAAAAATCTGTTTATGTTATGTTCTGTTACGGAATTAACTGTTCAATAACATATGGCATACGTACCTAAACCATAGGAAAAATGTGGCTCCAAATATATCCATTTTCTTTGAATTGAAATCGGCGGTGCAGTAACATAAACAACTTTATAACTACGTACTTTCTATGTATAAATTACAACCTGGTCACTTCACAACGATGCGGATAAAGTTCCTGACCAACGACGCTGTTTATAGAAAGTTAGCTTGTAGATTCATTGTCAATATTGTTGGAGTATTTAAAAGTACAAGTGTTGTAAACACGACCACGCGCCGTCTGGGGTCGTGTTCGCACAGCGTACTAAAGTGAATTGCGTTGGAATGCACGATCATGGCAACCCGTCGCCACCTCTGACTCAGTTCACTGGTTACGTCATAGCATTTGTATGTACATAACTTATCCTTATAACCTATGCTTTAGCCTATCAAAAATATGACAAGAACATGTCCATTCTCTTAAAGTTATATTTGAGTAGACAATTGCCCGTCTGAACACCCACAATTTGAAGACCACTAAACTACAGAGACTTAATCCACTTTCTCACATTCTGAAGGTCGCAGGTTCGATTGGCGCTCAACACGGCGTACAAATCATTAGTTCTCAGAAATGGCAATACATAACAAATACATCGGACATTACACTACAACTATTTTGTAGTATCCCATGTCGCTCCACATGAAATTTACCGTCACTTGGACGTTAGCTAGGACAGAAAGGAGTGATCACCCACCCACTCACCCATCACTACCTATCTAAGACTAAATTAGTTTTCAACAAGAACTGAAAAAAATTTGTTTAATTTCATAACTATTTAATTCAGTTTTAAAACCAGTATATTTCACACATAAATTTTCATTTCAACATTTCAAATTTAACGAACGACAAGATTTTGTTAAATTTAAAACGTATCTGTAACAAACAACAAACAGATTGTCAATTTAAATTAGAGTTGTAAATATGATATTGCTTATTTAAATTAAATAGATACTTATATATTTTTATGGGTTCACGTAGTCTTCATGTGAGTAGTCCTGTGCAGATATGAAATTATTATTTATGATAACGATTGTTTTAATGAAAGCTTCTCAATAATTGAGCATAGATCCATGAACATCTCGATTGGTCAACCGATGAATAAGTTCTCAGAAGATATTAGTCCACGTAAGCAATCATACTGCAAACGGCGACTTGTGAGGGCTTAAAATGTCTGTGCCTAAAATTGATTGATTGACATCCGCTTTTACAGTAGTCCACGTCATTTTTAATTATGCAGTAATAACTGCTTCTAATTTTACTTTTAAAGTAGGTCATTGAACTTGATCTGTATATCACCCATTAAAAAATCACTACTAGAAAGGGAAGACGAGAACAATAGTGATGAAGCCCAATTTGCTGACAAAATACTTTGTCACGTCATTACCTGTTTCGAAATAAAAAGGAAGGAAGATCCTATAAAATAAAATATAACAGAGTTTGTATTTATATATTTACTTGATGTTATTCATAAATTAATTAAATCAAACAAAATTTATTTGTATTAATTTTAATACTACATTATAACCTACATTTACAATACTCTTACATAATATTACAAATAAAAAATAAAACAGTCGTAGTAAGATTATTTAAAAATATGTTTATAAACGATTAGTTCCCTTTTATGCAATCCATTTAAGCGTCGAAAAGACAAATCATCAGACAAATACTTGTAGATATGGTTAGATATACACACCACTATGGACATACGTAGCTCTGACCCGGGTGAAGGGTGCGAATAATATATTTTTTTTAAGCCAAAAGTAGGTTTTTGCAAAATTAAAATATACTTACTATACTACGCATAATGCATTGCAGTGTACACGTTTACATTTTCTGTGCACCTTCGAGAGAAACCTGACATTCATATTCAGTCTACTAGGAACAGAATGCAGTCTAGTGTATTTGAAATCTTTGTTTCACTCTACAACCCATAAATTATAGTTATAAGCTCTCTATAAAATTTAATGACGTTGTATTTTTTCGCTCATGTACAATTCGCTCATGGCATGGTCGAGCAAAGAAGTTTACACAAGCGTAATATATGATATCCAAAATAGCACAAGATAAATACACACACCGCAGTTCAACCCCACGATGAGCAGTTTGACTGTTTCTCATAAAGTCTCACCGTGTTACTTACACGTTGCAAATTACTTTCGCGAAAGGTGTGAGTTAATACGCAGAACTTCATTTGATATTAGAAGTATATTTATACGGTATATTTGTTTAGTTGTCGTCGTGCTAAATTATTAAATTCTGTAAGTAACTAATGAGGATTTGCTTAGTAACGGAAACAACGGGCGAGGCAACAAAGGAAAGAAAACGATAAGAGAAAACAATGAAAAAAATCCGGTGAATCCAGTTACTAAACGGCAAAAACCTGAGTTTGTCTATGAGCAGATTACTCAAGCATAGAAGAACTACCCCATCCTTATTTACACCCAAGACCTAGTGTCGGGAAGTCTCGTTATAAACCGTAATTAAACATTCAAGGAACGGAGTTACGAGGGAGATATTGAACCTAAGCATTATACGTCATAAATGTGTGTCAAAGATAATGTGCAATTGAATAGTTCTTCACAAATTCGCGGGCAATGAAGTCACTGTAGTCCTCGAAGGAGTGTGTGAGGTTGTGGTGAATCCAGTGCGCCACTAGATACTGCGCGGGCGCCGGCGTATCCAACGGGACCATGTGACCGGCACCACGGATCGTCGCCTCCGTTAGCCCTCCGCCACTTTTGTAGTAACTGTGGTGCAGATAGAAGATGTATTTGTTTACAACACTTAATTCTTTTTTATCTAATTGTCCGTCGCATACAAAATCAATATAAACAATCACATTCATGAATACAAATGTTTGTAGCATGCGAGGAATCGATCCCGCAACCATTGGAAGTATCTAAAGCAATGTACTAAATCGCTAGACCACCGAAACCGCCATTTACATGAACGTCGTCATATAACGCCAGTGGTACGCTAAAGTGTATGCATGTCTTAGTAGCTTTCTTAGTGTTAATAGCATATACCCCGAATTTTTCTTCTCCTTGTGATACCTCCCTCCAGTCGATCTCGTTTCTACACACTAGTAGAATAAACAAAATAATACAAAAAAATACGTTTAGGGATACAAATGTTTGTATTGTACTGGATCACATCCGAGGCTATGAGCAGGTACAAGTACTTAACAATTTAATTAATTTAACATACCCGGACAGCTTATTGTTAAATATGTAAGCACTTCTAGTGGCGTTGAGAAATTCCTCTGCATGTTTCCATTTCCACGTGCGATATGTCTCAGATGCGAACACGCATGGCAACATCTGGTCCAACTGACCGCTAGAAATAATACCAAACGCATCTTAGTGTAGGTTTAATCTATTTAGAAGTCTATGTCATATTTGCATTATCTTATCGTTTATAGATCTAGAAGGAAGTGGTAACCGGCACTTATATTTATGGGCAACGGCATACAATGTTTATAGATGAGTGTAATTATTTTTCCACTTTTCTAGGAATGGCATTCCTTTGGCACGAGACGATGTCCTATGTCGTATGTAACCGGCATAGGAAATAGTCTTATTGATATATATATTCATAATGCAGGATTACAAACAAAAATCGAGATCACAGAGTCCTAAATCCCGATCGCAGAGCCCAAACTCTTGCTCTTAGAGTCCCAAGTCCAGATCACGGACTTCAAGATCAACGTTCAAGAGCCCGAAATCACGTTCAGCAATTCCTAAATCGTAGAGTTTCAAAAGTCATTCGCTTTCTTTGTTAGCTAGCAGTAGACCCAAAAGTAAAAAATCTCGGTCTCATAATGGATCATCAAGGTACTAGAGTCCTGAGGCAAGACAAGATGTTTAGTTAACAGATCTAATTCCCCTCCTATATATATAAACAGAATTTATTGACTTACCAATATGCCAGAACTCTGTAATGATCGAGCAACGTCTCCAACATTGGCCTGGCGCTGCTCAGGAAGTCTGGCGCCATTTCAGTATTGACGGTGAAGTTCACGAAACTGAAATTTATGTCGCCGACGTGCAACGCTCGTTTCACTTCCGAACTGGCCAAGAAACTGACATATTCGCCGACAGGTAACTTGTCACGAAGAAAATTGTACGCTTGCTTTTGATGTGACATGTATAAGAGTATGGTCACTAGGCTGTTCCATTTCTAGAAAAATATCGTGCTTAAATAAATATTAGGGAGATAGCGAATCTAAACATTATAATATATAATGATAGAAGCCTCTTCATCGTAAGTCTTGATCAGACCGTTATTAAGTTTGATTGCCAAATTGCTTATGTAAGTGTTTTCAAATCGGTTAGGAAAATTGTTCCGTACAATTGACACTGTTTATCATTTAATTTGGGACAGTACACTAATACATATAAATATGTAATTTTATTAAATACAACTCATTTTTTTAATTAATTTCATGAAAATATCAATCATCAATGTAAGTCATGAAACCACATTTTAAATTGGAATAGGTACCTATATTGTTTCTGTGTTTACATCATATAGGTAGGCTTTCACTTGGCATTCAGTTGATTGCTATATAGATTGAAAATGCTCACTCTGTTGGCATTATGTTATTTTCATCAATCTAAAACTAAACGTTTAGGATTTTGTATAAAACAATTAAAAATGATTAAATCCATTCTCACTTGCTTAGCTTCGATGCTTCTGTTGGCTGCTATGTCTTGTTGAAATGCGTCGAAAAGTGGCTTCACAATGTCCAGCTGTTCATTCACCAACAGACCGAAATAATAAAACGGTCGTATCATCTGAGATATCATGGCTGGCTCCACATATGCGTTACCTATCATAATACCCTGCCATATAAGACAATAATCTTTCTTAAGCTAGCTATACAGTAAAAAATAAGGAAATATTTCATGCGACGATAAAACTTCAATAAGTTTAATCTTTGAAATAAACAACTTGTGTAACGTGTAGAAATAATTAGGCATGACACGAGGGGTGGTAAAGTCGGTACCAGCACTGAGCACATAGAGGGCACGTGAGTATTTTAATATAGGTATACGAGTATATAAGATACTCAGAGAATATGAAGACAGTGATAAAGTACTTGGTTTCATAACTACTTTTTTGTATAAGAATTTAATGAATGAGGAAGGTCTTGAAATAAGGAAACGTTACTGCGTTACATTTGTTTCCACTTTATTCGGATTTCTTCTTCAGCTTACCCTGAAGAATTGGATAAAACGACGAGTTCATTTCAGAGTTTTAAGTTTATTAAATTCCCGTACATAGTTATAAAATGTTAATGCAAAATGTACATAAGTTTTAAAAATAATAATACTATATAGTTTTAATGATACTTTCATATTACAAAAACTATTAGGTATAAATCACAACGCAATTTCTTTTATTCTTTTCACATCATTGTTATCTATCTATTGTAGGTATGTGCAAGGTTGAATATACTTGCAATACTAGTATACTTATAACGTCTTGTGATTTTTAATCCATAATAATATAAATGAGAAAGTGTGTCTGTTTGTCTGTTTTCAATCTTTTCACGACTAAACGACTTAACACTATTGCTGATGATTTTTATGTTTGTTTGTTTTTATACATAGACCTCGAGAGGAGGAATATACTGAAATAATATAAAATTCATTCAGCGAAATCCGTTCTAAACTATGTAGGTACTACAGATACTAGACAACATTAATGATGCGTGTGCTTTATTACATTTTTTTTGTAAATATATAAATAATAACGATAGAAGGTCCACAATTACAAACTCCCAGACTAATACTGGCGGGATCGACACGCAACCATCAAAAGATAGCGTGCAAAATCACTAGACCGAGGTCATCTATATTTAAAAATCTCCTTCTACGTGTAAGGCACAAAACCGCAAGCCAAGAAATATATAAAAATATACCTGAAGATTGATATCATTTCCAGGTGCGTCTTTGTGCTTGTGAATCTCCATTGCCAAAGACGGCACGTACTTTCCAGCATACGACTCGCCCGATATGTACAGTGGGGCTATACGCAGTTCTGGAAATATTTGCAGGAATTGTCGCACAGCTCTATACATGTGACTGGAGTACTGCGAACAAATTTTACTGCGAAATTATTTATATATTTTCACATTGCATGACTGTCTCACTCACGCAGACGTACATTTCTTCATTATATCATTACGCATATTATGTACTATATACAAAGTTAATTTTAATTCAATATATGTATTTAAAGATTTCAAGTAACAAAAGAAAAATCCCGTTCAGTTAGTTGCCAAGCATATGCATTTAAAGTATCAATTAGAGAAACGAGTGGAAAAACAAATTTAAAGTTTATATACAGATAGTTATATAGATTTAGCCAGCCAACTCATGTGTGATTAATAAATCTACCATTGGTAGGTATCTAATATATAAACATTATTTTTATCAAATAACAGATAAATATAATTTAATAATAATTAACACGAAAAAGTTCTACCTGGTGTAGAATTTAAAATTTTACCTAGGTAAAATTTTTACCAAGCGGTATAACCTCTGTTTCACATATTTTAGTCGCCAAGCAGCTTGGTTTGTGACATATGTATTGTGTTTTCATTGAAGAGTTATTGGATAAGACAGTAAAATTGTGGGCTGCGACGCGACGGCGTGACATCTTAGTCCTCCGAAATAGTAACGCATGGTTGGTGCGTTAATGCGAAGGTTATCAGTTAAGAACTATTAGATCGGGAGCTGTTTGCCATTCTAATTACATAAAAAAAGAAGATTTACTTAGAAAACTTTTTTTAAATACATATTTTCCTATATCGTCTATTGCCTCTCGAAAAGTCGTCTTTGAAAGCATTGGTGCGGTGAGCTTCTTCGTAATCTCTCCATTCTTTAATTCAGTTTACTTGACGAAAATGTTTCACATTCGGCATAAAATATAAAAAGGTCAAAGTACACAACTATATTCAAACAATGACCTAACTACAATATGTTAGTTATACTTCAACTAAAATGGTATACTTAAACTTTAGATCACCTCAAACGTAAACATTAAATAATAATCTATAAATAAATCAGTCGTTGTTTTCGTCAATCTGTTTTCCCCACTTACTTCTAAAACACATAACGGATTCTGATAAGAATTTCACTATAATTATATATAATTTCCATAATTTCTTTTGAAGTATTTTATATGTATGACATACATATATTAATCATATGATTTCCATCACTATCACGACAGATAACATAATATCTATCACATACCTACACTGTACACCCGTCCCAAGCCGAGGTGGGTCAATCATAATTACAAAACATCGAAGTAGGTACTCTACTCTTAATTGTACCTCGGATTAAACAGAGGACTTTAAGATAACCGAAGATAATAAAGCAAAAGTCAAGGTAGTGTTCTCTCACATGAATATAGAGTCACTCTAGAGTCTTACCGTAGCCATGTCTTTAGCGTATCCCTCTGCATGATCAGTGAAACTGTATCCTGTTCCAACTGGATTCTCGATGAAAACAAGCGAGTGGTTCTGCAGCCATGTGTATGGATTCTCTGGTATATATGGGTAGGTATTACTTTTTAATATAAGTCATTGAATAATAATAATCTAAGGACTCCCAGAGTAGTAGTCATAGATATTTTCGACTGTAGACTTTTTATGTACCTAATTGGAAAGGTATATCTGCATAATAACATGTATTATATACATAACATGTATCTGCATAATACATTATATGACACTTATTCGTTTCCATTCCAGAGGATAAGTAAGATGAATGATACTAAGATATCATGCCTCATCCAGTAATGTCACTGCCTAATCTTCAGCCTATAAACCTCGGTAAACTGATTTTCTGTTGTGATAAGTTTGGCGATTTAAATAGGCGAGACTGAGGTATCCACGCTGGGGTGCCTTTTTACAGTCTACCTCTATGATCAGCGCAACTCACTCTACTTCACTTTACATTTCGTTGGGTAAGGTACCTATGTTTAAAACCATCATGTGTCATGTTGGTAGAGCGAGTGCATACCACTACCTGTTGAATTAATTTGGTTTGTTATCAGTGTTGTTATCACCGGAGTGTTAGTCAGTAATATATACATATATATATGTTGCCCAAATTCGAATTCACAACCTTTCAGTCTTACGTACTAAACAAAACTACTTGTGACACGCCGCTCCATACTTAATAATAATGTTTAATATTGTAAAGTATAATCATTCCGATTACTTTTCCGGATCTAATTAAGCATTATATACATTTTAATTATCTACTGTTAATTAATAAACAAAAGTAGATCCGCAAAATCTTATATTATTATATTAATTTTAACATTCAACTTTATCGCTAGTGACTTACGTTTCAAAGTCCCATCGACAAACTTAAAGGGCCCGATCTCGTCGAACAGTCCTGTCATGCTCGAAGCCCCGGGACCACCTTGCAACCAAATTATCCAAGGTGTCTCGTTTACGGGTTTGTTCTCCACAGGAAAATACCAAAAGAATAGATTCGAGTTGTAAGTCTTGTTCACAGTAAGGAAACCCGAATAACTCTTGATACCGAGGAACAGACTAGGATCCACCAAGCACATATTGCGAGCCTCCTGAATAAGGCCTTCTTCTATATAGGGCGTTAAAATTAACGCCGTTCCGTTATCAACTTTAGGAACAGGAGCACAGGGCTCACTATCATGCTCTATGTTGTTAGATATATCGATCGTATTTGATGTACAATTAATATTTGTATCATTCGCTGGCAAATCATAAACAGGTAAATCCACCAACAGTTTATCAATTTTCGTATCATTTAATGAAACGATATCATTTTTCTCGTCGTTCAGTACGGTTCTTCCATATACACTGCATATAGAAAATTTAATTTGAGTATAAGGCTGTTTTAAGTAGTTTGAACACACAAATGCTAATTAATTTTATTTACAAACTGAATTCAGAATCACCGCAAGGCTACAGTAAAAATTAGACATGTAAAAAAGGTTAAGTTGTTTATTCGTGTACAACAATAGTACTATTAGTTTTAATAGAATAATTTGTAGCAAATCGTGCCCGGCCAAAAAAGATTTCCCAAAATAAAATACAACAACATTTTATATATTAATCTGATATAATTAATCCAATTTGATAATTCATGAGGCGAACACAATATTAAAATAAATTAAATAATATCATACACATACCTCGTTACAAATAACAACAATAAACACACTGCGTTAGACATTTTGAAGCTGTTTCACCTAAACAAATTATAATATTAAACATGAATAAAAAATAATACCGCGAGAAGAGAACTAAATAATTGGGAACATAAGTTCCCTATAGTAAAGCGTTTCGTTTAATGAATGGCAAGTAATCATATTTGTATCTGTACTTATTGCTATCAGTTGAACTGTGTGATCTCATACGTTGTCATAACATTGCGAGTTGGACTGTATGTGACACGGTCATACGAATTTGCTTTACGTATTTGTGAAAAATAATTTACTGTGACCAATACTATGTGTCAATTACGGAAATGTTATGTTTACTATATTTATACTACTACATTTAGTTATATATATTGTAAATATACATTTATATTTCCACATTCATAACATTTATTAGGACAAGGATATTGATAACCAATTTAATTAAGAGGTCAAGAGTAAACTTGGTTTCTGTGACCAACGCAATACAAAACACGCTCGTTTATGTTGGATTTAACAAATATCTCTAAATCTATTTTAATTAACATTTATATTTATTTAATTACTTCTGATTTTTAGGTCTCGAATACTATTTAATATATATTTTTTTATTAGTATATTTATTTACACGCATAAATATCAATAAAAGTTGGCTTATTAAATAGAGTTGTGAATTGTGCATAAGTACAACAATTCTTATCAATTTTAAACAAAGTCACTAGAATGAGAGACATTCTACACCTTACGATGCTCTCAATAAACTCTAAATGTACTTTTTAGATTTTTTTTCAAATTTCAATGTGAATTTTAATTGAATTCAATATAATAGTCATATACAATATTGGTTAGCTCATTCAATAATCAAGGAACACAGAACTGTAGTTATTAGTATTTAATATTATTAAAATATGTCGAACGTATATTTAAATGTAAATGGATTGGAATTGGTTTCAAGAGTAGACCGATTATTTAGTTTCCATTAAAAATACTATGATTACAGTTGTTTGACAAGTGATTCATATTTTCACAACTACTTATGTAATCCTCGGTAGTATAGTGGTAAGTATCCCCGCCTGTCACGCGGGAGACCGGGGTTCGATTCCCCGCCGGGGAGGTTACTTTTTTTTTTAATTATTTTTGTAATTATTTATAATTTATTTGTAACTAATAATAGCCAAAATTTTATATAGTAATTCGATTATTTAGTATAACATCTCTAATATGACTCATGATGTCAGCCAGCCTAGTAATTTCGGAGGCTATTGTTTGTATCGAATCGCACATTTTTTTGCTATTTTCTAATTTTTCTCTTTCCAAACTTAAGAATTCTGAGGCTTCGTCATCGTTGTCTGTAACAAATGAAGATGAATAAAATAATGAAAAATTAATAACATGGATACTAAATAACCAACCAAAAACCAAAACTTATATGAAATTGAGGTTGATAAATAAAAAAATATAATCTTAATTAATATTAATGAATGTGTAATGAATTTTATAATTATATATAGTAGTCAAAAAATAATTTTGGAGATGTTAAAATAATAGCGCCATCTACACGCTACTATAGTTATCATGTCCAACACATTAGTGATATAGAATGGTGTCAATAGATGGCGCTAAAAAGAAAACATTATAATAATGCCACCAATACACTATACCACAATATTAATCCTGATTTATAAGCAGTTGCCTGAATTTAGAATTTTAAAAATTTGTTAAGCTTGTGTAATAGCACATGTAATATTTTGTAATATTAACTATCTATTACCTGTATCCTCTGTATCACCATTTCTGACACCCACCCTGGCTTTCCGTGCTGGAGGGCTGCTTGGTCCAGCACCATCATCCAAATCTGATAGATCTCTGGACGAATACCGTCGTTTCTTCTTTTTATTATATACAGGTTCACTCACTGAAAATGCAATTGAATAGATTTTACATTGTTCTGCCATGGAAAGAAAGTCCCTTTTTCACCGAAATACCGATTGCAAACTGCACCTGGTGTCAGTCACAGATACCGTATCTCTATGTGTTGATAATACGCAGGCAACTTCGTACATTGTCTACCTCTAATACATTTCGTGTATTTGTTATTTAGGGCTCTGTGAAGAAAATTTTAGTACTGATTTAGTACTTCAACTGGTATCTATGGTACTGGTATCTGGTGGTACTGGACGTATTTTAATATATATTTATAATTTAATAAAGTAATAATTATAAATACCTGTAAATTGATTGTCTGTGATGTCATCATTAATTTCTGTGTTATCTGGTTCATCTTCATCGGTATCCTAAAATTAAATAAAAACAAATTTGAGACACAGTTACAATGAAATGTAGCGGTCTGAGATATATTTTATTTTATGCCTTTTAGGGCACCCCAGTAGAATAGAAAGCGATATCTTTACTTACTTTTAATTTGCTAACTGATCTTTTAACATTCAAATGCATTTTAATATATCATGTACTTGCAAATGCTCATAACAATACATCTCACGAAAATAAATAGAAATTAATCTAGTTCTGGACAAATGTTAGAAATATGACATACATACATAATGCACACAGAAAACATCCAGACTAACACTTAAAAGTAATCAGAACTAACTTGAAATTATTTATTTATACTCACACCTTGAGCCAGAGGATCACTTTTAATGACAACATCATCAACAGCATTATCCCCGATTATACTTAATATGGATTCCTCAAGGTTTGATAATGGTGTGATGTCAGGAGCTGGCCGGTTGCTGTCCTTTGCTGCCTTTAACTCTAGGGCTCTTCTACGAACTCTATATTTCCAATCACACCAATACTGGAATTAATAAATATATATATATTAGAACAAAGAAAAGAGTTAAGATTATTTCTATTTTATTTTACTTAATATAAAAGTATTAAATTATAATAAAAATAAATTGCTACAAAACTACAGATTAAATAAGTCTTTTTATTTCAGGAAAATATATAATTTCATTGTATTATTTTACATTACAGATAAGACAACAGGGTCAAACTCTGTTATTAGCCACAATGGAATAATATGCGTACTTAGGATATAGTTTTGTTGTGTATTGTTTGCAATTTTATAAGTTCCTGATATTTTGTTTGACTATTTTTTGGTAATTAAATATTTTATGATTGAATAGTATGCAGTGTAATTAACCTTTGACCATCCTTTGCCATCTTTAACAGCTCCACCTTTGTGTCCATTCAGTTTCTTTGCACAAAGGTTCCACAACTTAAGTGTATGAAGCTTCCCTCGACGGCCTCTCATCAGACCCTTGGCTAGTTGTTGGTGCTCTTTCAAGAAATCTATCATTGCTTTCAGCTGATCATAGTTCACTTGTTTTCTAGTTTTATAGTCTGAAAAATTATAAGAGACAAGAATTTTTTTTTATTGAAATAAATTATTCATCAATACATTAAAAAAAACTGATGCATGTTATGGGTTTTTTGAAGATTCAACAGTGCTCATGTTTGAGCGATCGGCATATACGCTGGCAAGTGAAAGATGATTAGTATGAGAATAAGGTCAATTCAGTTAGCCCATTGTGACAAATTCACCAGGAGTTGAATTGACCAGACAATGGTCTCCAGGGGGACCGCGTGAAGGTCCATCCAAAAGGGACATTACTAGTAATGTGACCACTGGGGGGAAGGGGATTGTTAGTAATATGGACTGATGACCCCATTATTAGCAATGTACCATGTCAGGTTGACCTCCACGCGGTTCCCCCTGGAAACCATCGTGATAAATTCCTGGTACACAATAGGCTAACTGACCTGACCTCATGCTCATCTTATCATCCTCCACTATGGCCCTGACAGTGTAAACCGTTAGCGCAGGCATTCCATTATCATACCTAAAAAAAAAAAGTAATGTGACCACTTGGACTATTTCTAGATAGTAGGCGATAGAAGTGACGTCACTGTAGGTGGTCCAGGCGGGTCCTGTAGGCAGGCTAGTCCTAGTGGAGACTTATACGGAGTACCCACATTGTGTTAAGTGAAAGGCATGATGGATCGGTAAATATTTCTATTTTGAATCAATATGCTCATTTTACTCTAGATGAAATTATATAATAATTATTATTATATGGTAATTTAATTAACATATTCTAGTGCCCTATTTTAGTAGACCTACCTAATCGCGTCAAAAAAAGCTATCATATTTATTACAGAAATAAAGCCGCGAAAAGTTAATACCCCAAAATATATAAATACAACTACTGAAAATAGAACTTAAAATCATAAACTCAATGTTCATTTTACATTACGATTACGGTCTCTTAAGTCTTTTAAATCTATAGTTTTAAACGATAATGGATCGATAATGTTCTATGTCGACAAACGATTCAAAGCCCAGTTATTTTACAATAATAATAAATTACTAACCTCCTGAATCCATTTTATATGAATTTTTGAAAAAGATGTTTACATATATTAATTTCCTTTTAATTGTTAATACACTTTAATAATATTAATTAATTAAATCAATAATATCGTATCCATCTCGGATTTGGATCGAATTAATTTCGTTTCGGTCAGAATTGACACTACTTAATATGCCTATCGACGTAAGTACCTATGTAGGAAAAAATATTTTATACTGATGTACAATGGAATAAAATGACTGACAGTTGATTGACAACTTACAAAACAGTCCCGTTTGACAGAACTTCGAAGATAACACAATCAATTCGATTCAACTTCCAAAGTCGTTACTTTAATTTAATTAAATTTAATCGTATTAAATCAATAAGATAAATGATGAAAATCAATTTGATAAAATTAAAAAAAACAATTAATTGTTTTATTTTTCGATTAATTATGTTGTCATTCTCTTACGTAGTATTCACTACGTAGATTACTAAAATCTGTTGTACTGCATAGGATTGAAAAACATTAGTCATTGCATTGAATAAATATTATTTTTCAGTGGTAAATTAATTACTATCTATTATGTATATTTAATTATTTAATTATTCAATATCTATATTGATCACCCATAAATCAGAGAAAATTACATTCAAACATCTCTGTATTCCATGTCGTGATTATTTGCAAACTTTTCAATGTACCTAGAGCTTATAGGTAGGTACTAAGTAAAGGGGGAAACGAAAACAAACCCAGACTGCGCGCGCAGCATCCAATCAATTTAAATTTTGTACTCATTCAGCTTTACAGCGCTTCAGTTTTTATCTATTGGATTTATTTTTATGTCTACACTACAGAAATTTTAATTATTAAATGTTTTATTTAAGTCCTCTCCGAAAAAATATATTTTATATTGCCCTTTTTAAAAATATAAATATATTATTAATAAAATACATACCTATTTTATTATCTACTACTATCTAAAATCATAGATAAAAATAAATCTTGAAGTCGAATTATCTTCTATAAATATATGTAGATATATTAAGAAAAGAAGTAGGTAGGTATAGAAAGTATTTACATTTTGCTTTTGAATATGTTTACAACAATGAAATTTTAAATATTAGTAATATACTTATTTGTTAGAATATCTATATAGTTTGCTCCTATTATACTCCTAAAGACAAATTACAAAAGTAACTACTATACCTATGGATATATATACCTACCTAGTCTAAAATCAAATATATAGATACTAACATTTATTCTAAATAGACAACGATAGTGATAGATAGTTTAGATCTTTGGTTTGCTTACTTTAGGATAGCTATTGCGGAACTTTGTTGTCAGACAGTAATTCCTATGAGATTGTCGCTGAAATAACTGTCCGCATAAAGCTACAAAGTATAAAGCGCTACAAAGGCTGCTCCGATAACTTTGGTGCATGCGTGATGTCGTCACAGCAAATATTTACTTTCCTCCTACTAAATGGTTAAACGACTAAATTAAGTGGTACTTCGTGTACCTTGTACCACTAAATCGATACGAGGTATTTTACATTTGGTCGCATGTAAATCTTTCACCATTTCATTGACAGGTTGATAGGCTGCTGAGGTTTCAGATATCTGATTTTAATGATATTGTGAAATTATGTCTTTATATTAGAAATTCTCATTTGTGAAATATTAACTAGGTAGTGTGAATACATTAACACCATGTTTCTAGAGAGCTTTAAACTGATAAAGAGGGTGAGTGCTACACGTATCTCTATGATTTTATTCCTTATTACTTTGTTTTCCAATTCAATAGCATTTCTGTCTTGCCTAGATATCAATACGATTTCTTTTGTTTTATTCGGTCATCAGTATTTACTATTTTAGATGTATAAATTATCACTAGATTAAATAGGTACTGAATTAAAAATAATATATTTAATAAATATCTAGAAGGTTAACTATTAATATATTGATTCGATACTGTTCATAAAATATTTCCACATATATAGTAGATAATATGTAATGGCTGCGCCACCCGCCCGCCCAGAAAAGTGAAGTGTCCTGTTCTGTCCTTGCTACGTGCGCAGGTAGTTATCGTATAGTGAAAGACGAAAATTGTTTATATAGGTAGGAGGTACTGCGTATTAATGTTATATTTTCAAACTAAATACCTTATACGTATGTACCTTCATATATGTATAAAACTTTACACAGGTATATTGGGTTAAATTGGGTTAGGTGCGTAACCTACGTATATACTTATTGATGAGGTGTTACGTAGAAAATACAATCATATGGCCATATTTTCCACCGCACTCGTGAACTTAGCCTCTGAGAATTTTTTTACGTGATTAGAATGGGAAACTAGCCACAAGGTCTACATTGATAGAAAGTGGGGACCGTTGTTCATACACATGAATTGCATCATGGATGATACATCGTTATCTGACCTTGGTATCATGCGTTGCCATTCCTGAGACGAGAAGTTGTTATTCCTCTGTAATCTGTAATTCAACGATAAATATAAACACTTGTTACCGTCAGCTGGCGCCATAATAAAATAAAACATAGTTTCTATAGTACTATGGTAGATAGACATACATACAGACTACATAGACGTAGTTGCATTTGGTTTCTCATTATTTATTAATTTGCTAACTAGCAATGCCGTAACAGCCTGAGACTGCTGGTTCCGAAAATCGACTCCGTAAGCACAAGAAGGATAAAAAATTATTATAAAATTGTGTAAAAAAATTTGTGTAATCTATATATTATACATGAAACTTTTTACGATCAAACGACGCCGATAAAGCCTCTAGTGTTAATAAGCTACTGAGTATTTTTCCATAATTTTCAGCTGTGTATTTTTTCCATAAGATTGTTTTTATTAACACGAACGAAATTAATCCGTTAAAACGAATTAACCGAACGCAATACTCTATAGTACCTACATCTAATCACATAATGGTACCTTAAAAGGTTTCAATTTCAGCTCCATTTCCACTCAACTGCCAATTCCGTTAAATTGACAGTTTTCCGTTTCTAATTACCCTGCTGCCTGTTTCTTAGTGAAATTTATTTTTTAATTTTCTCATGACACGAAACCGGCCGGCTGCCTGCGCATTGATTCCATGCCTTTTCTATAGGCCCTCTATACAATGAACAGTGGATTGAGTACTCTTGCCTTGATAACATCGCTCGTACAGGCAACGTTATTTTCTTTTTTATTTTTCCGTTCGTTGTTTTTCCCGCGTAAATTTTATTTAAAAAGTTTTGTTTGGGTGTCTTTACACATTTATTTTTCAAATGCAAATGGAAATACAAGTTGATGTGGTAAGTAAAGTGTACGTAATAATTTGTGGCAGAATTATACAAATTAATTTTTTTTTGTCGAACAAATTTTTGGAATTAATGTAAATTATATTTTTAAGTAATTCAAAATGTTACATATAAAGTGTTAAATAGAAGTAATTCAAAATACATGTGTCTTAATTATCATTAAGTAGGTACATATTACAAAATTCTGTAAATATATAGATTTGGTCTGTGAACGATATTTTAATAATACTTTTTTAAGCCCTAGGCGTGTAAACCTTTGATTTTATGACCAACATCATATGATGAAGTAATGTGATTGACTACTTAGGTACATCATGTGTTGTTGCCAAAATTACATAGAGCCATATAAGATAGGTTCATATTACGGGGTGTAGCGGACATTAACAATTTATGGTTAGTGACTGGCAATTGGTTTCGGTGGACATTTACTTTAGTTAATTAATAGTCCGTTGTTGACACTGTAAACAATTCGTGTCGTGTTAGTATTTACATATTTTCATAATTCAGATGTCTATTCTACCTTCTACGTTTATATTTATGTAGACAAATTCTTATATATTATTAAATTAATAAAATTGTAATATAACATTATTTCATTTGATTCCGCTTGTGTACCTAATGTTAAAAAAATAATGTTATGTGGAAGATTAAAGCTATAATAATATCTAATAATGTACCTACCTAACGAAAATTTGAAATAAAAAAATGCAAGAAAAGGCCGAATAATTTAATTACGGTCGACTTGCAGGTGTATAAATATATTCGCTCTTTGTACTAAACTATTACTATTACATATTTACTAATATGTATATATGTATATGTATATATAGGATTTCTTTGCTTTCTCCACTGAGGACTCACTGAAATATTATGTACTAAGTTAATATACATATAAGTATCAGAATTGGCTTCTTTCATACAAAACTGATTGACGAATCTTCTTTTTTGGTCCCACTCGAACTATCGAAATCATTGTTTGGAGATCGGTCACCATTTTTAGCACTTTATTTCTATACTCTTTATTGCATTAGATAAATTACAGAATTAAAATTAACAGAGTGGCTACAAAAGACGGCCTTATCGCTGATAAACTATGTTTAGAATTAAATACAATTTCGCGTGTACAAACATCTAGCCAGTCATTTACTATACAATTACACTCAACCTCTAAACACAAAATGTAGAGCTTAAACTCATCTTCGCATGTCACAATTTCGCACACAACTGCTAGGGTCAATATATCGAATCCTGAACGAGTGACTCCTTTATTTGGATTGTTGTTCCGACTCGAGATCACAATTAGCCATAACATTACACATTGTTTTGATTGTAACTAATTTCATTTAGGTACCTCTAATTAAGTCTCTATACTTAATTAGAGGCAGAAGAAAATGAGTGACTGGGTAATTAAGTGTTGAATTTTATTGAATTTAGTTGATTGAATTAGTCTATAAAGACTAATTCAATCAATTTTGACTGAATTAGTCTAGAAAGACTAATAAATTTTTAATTTTTATGGTCCTATTTGTTGTCAATAAAATTCAACACGTAATTACCCGGTCACGAGTCTAAAAGTTTTATTGTTACGGACGCAATAGGAAAGCACTTAATGACACTTTGGTATTCAAAACACAGAGAGAAGTGTGGAGGCTAATGGCGGGCTGGCCTTGCTGCATCGTCACGGTCCTTCGCCATTAAGCTATTCAATCGATTCGTACTTAATTAGAAGTACACTATACATTCGTAAATGAATTACAACAAAGCGTTTAATTTAATTTATTTATACTAAAGTTTCTATTAATTAGACGGTATAAAGATTTATCATGGTTTATTTTCGATTAACTAAATCAAACACTATAGTACTCGTCAAACTTAATTAATTTAAATGAACGGAAGAGCGAGTTATAGTCCTTGTAAATCACTAGTAATAATGGTATTATACCTACTTAGTTATAGCACAGATAAGATAATATGTATTCATATGTGATGAATTGTACAAAAGCGCAGATAGTAAAGTAAAAATCTCTGCCTCTGACCACTATTTTTCTCGCCAAGTAACTTACATATTTTTCAAGTTAAAATCAGATACGGTGCGATACGGAGGCGTAATATCATAGTTCTCAGAAATAGTAATGCCACAAATAACATAATATTACATAGTAATACATAATATATTTTTTTACGTCTCTCCGCTTTTAATCTACTTATTTGATTGCCATCCCCTTAAGAAACTAGCATAGAATAGAATAGAATATAATAGAAGATCCTTTATTCAAATAAACTTAATTGAAGCACTTTTGAATAGTCCCAGTTAAAATTTAGTGTTTGTTTTATTCTAAACGTTACATGGGTTCGTAGTCGCAGGCTCGGTTAATTAACTTTGTAAAAATGACATCTTCGTCCGTGTAGCGAACTCCTTGATAGGTTTTTATACTATTTTTAAATTTTATAATAATATTCTTTGACATATTCTTTATTGTTACTTTCTATTATATATCGCTGTCATACTAGTCGCATTTTATTTAATCTCCGTATTTTCCTCATTAAAACCCTCAGCACCTCTCACTCATCAGACACATTTGATACCTCCGCTTCAATTCAATTCAATTCAATTCAAAATATCTTTATTCATGTAGGTCTATTACAGACTCTTATGATATGTCAAATCTACCGTCAGTTCGGAATGATTTCGAGATGAGAAGAACTGACAAGAAACTCAGCTCGTATTTTTTTTTTTTAATGTTGTACATATTTATAATAATACTATTTCATTTAAATTCAAATTTGGGAGAATAGAGTGACCACCAGCATATGCTATATAAAAAAAAAATCAAAAAAATCAAAAAATCTAATCAGTGTTCGCAACCTGAACAGACCAGTCCCCACAAGCAGCACCCGTACACGAGTATGACGGATGAGCCAGCCATCATTGCACTCAACCATATTAGAGGGAGCACATCGACCCGGCCCACCACGCCGCCACATGTTTGAACTTTATAGCGAGCATGACTGTTTCAAGTTACTCCACTACGTCATTTATATTATTTACAGCATAAACTGTACCAATCACAGTTTTCACCCATTACAATATTTAAATTACAATATGTCATTACTAAATTTAGGATAAGTTTCTTTAGTGTTTATTACATTATCTATGTCAATGAGAAAGTTATATACCTCATAACAAATGTTAAAATAATTAAGTTTAAAGTTAAAATAAGTAAGTAATTAAGTCCACGCATTGTAGTCATTCAAGTAGTCGTTTATTTTATAATAAGCTTTAGCGCAAAGTGTATTTTTTACATGTATCTTAAATTTCCCTTCATTTAAATTCAAAACATTATCGGGCAATTTATTATAAAAACGTACACAATGTCCCATGAAAGATGTACTTCAGTCCGTATATCTCAGTCTCACATGTTTCAATCGCCAACCAGCCTTCTTTGTATATTATTTTCTATGTGAAATTACAGAGACATCGCGTCACATATACGTGCCCGCGGTTTCACCCGCGTTAATTTTCAATTTAAATTATATGTTTATTCTGATGCATAAACTTTATTACTGTAATGTTTCATTAAAATCTGTCCAGTAGCTGTTACGTGTAAGAGTAACAAACATCCAGATTTACAAATTTTCGCGTTTATTATATTAATAATAATAACATAGGCGGAGTAACGTGCACCATCAGCTTATTTAAAAAAAAGTAGTTAATAATTAATTAAGCACTAACAATACCCCCGCCCTGTGCCGACCCATCTTCGATTAGGTGGGATAGATGTCCCACTAATTACAGAAGGGCGCGCCAAATTACCTACTTGTAGTTATTTATCAGTGTCAGTCATGTTGGGTTGGGTCACCGTAGAAACATAACTATAAACCTATGGTCTTACACCAGCGTTTCCCAAAGTAGGGCCCACGCTACACAGGGCAATTTAAATGTTAAGGGGAGCAATTCTAAAATCCACTTTGTAATAAAATTGTATGAAATGTGAATTTCAATACTGTTTCATTAATAATTTCCTCGTGATTTCTTCCTAAAACATATTCTTTCAGTTTCTTAAGTGATCAATTCAATTTCATTGAAATTGGGAAGGGGTGTGGGGTGGCATAAGAAATTTAGAAAGGCTAAGGTGGGGCAAGACTCTGTAAAGGTTGGAAAATACTGTCGGAGATTGTGGTAGCGGGTAAGAACTAGATACAGCATATAGAAGTAATGTGATTATGATTATTAATATTGTATATTACGTAGTAAATTTATATATGAAAAAGTTGTTATATTAGTTCATATTTATCAAAACTTCGGGCACATGAATGGTCGAACTAATAATAAATTCTAGCGACGAAAATGAGAAAAATTCTTCTCTTATACCAAACATAAAACAAACATCATGCAATTCTGTTGATTTTTCGAACATATTTTTTATAAATCGCATTAGGTACTTGTGCCATTAGATATTTATATTATGTACCATGTATAGTGTGAATGTGTTACTACCGATACAGAAAATAATGTGTTACTAGCGATACTTAAATTAAATGACAATCCCTTTGATTATAAGTGATTATATTTTTCCATTACAACAACTTTACCTAAATAAAATTTTGTTATTTTTGCTAACAATTTAATTGCCTATTAACTATAATAGATACATCTTATATATAAAATTCTCGTGTCACAGTTGAAACGGCTTGACCGATTCTCATGAAATTTTGTGAGCGTATTGAGTAGGTCTGAGAATCGGCCAACATCTATTTTTCATCCCCCTAAATGTTAGGAGTAGTCCACCCCTAATTTTTCATTTTTATTTTAAGGCAAAACAACGTTTGCCGGGACAGCTAGTATTATATACATTAATATCATAGAAAAGCTGGAGTAGATGTCATTCGTGTTTTTACGAGTTCAATAAAATAAAGCGTAAAACTCCGTCATCATGTCCGGCTATTGTAGTTTCTAGCTAGATATTATGACAAATAAAATGATATACGATATATAGGGCTGTGCGCTTTAAAGGACCTTCAGAACTGAACAAATAAAACGTATTAAGTATCAAGTAAGAAAAAAACATAAAAAACATAAACATAAGAAAAAAAAACGATCTATGAAGTTTTAATTATTAATTGACTAATTATTAGTTAATTAATACTTTTGTTTTAACTATTAATTATTAATTTTGATCGTAATAACATAAGGAAAGAAGTTCAAAATAAGAAACCACAGTACAAACGAGTCGTTTTTCATGTTACGTTACATTTTTGACATTGCAACCTTTCATGTTCTTGTCCAGTCAGAGTATCTCAGTGATCTTTTAAGAAAATTTGTATTATATAAGTAACTAGCTATTGTCCGGGACTTTGTGTACAAATAAAAAATAGTCCATGCTGCTCCTCGGAAGGCATCTATCATCCATCTTTACGCTAAATTTCATTATAATCTGTTCAGCCCATTAATAATGGAAAGGTATTACATAAACAGACACAGTGGCACAATCACGTATTTATAACATTGTTTATTTTTAATGGATGATAAAGGAATAATGCCCCCCTCTACACCGTTACTTTGCGCTAGTGCAGGCGGGGTACCAGTGGAGAATAATGTGATGAGCATGAGATTAGGTTAGTTAGCTCATTGGGAATTTATCGCAATGGTTTCCATAAAGAACAGCGTGGTGATTCTATTCCTAGCCATGGAATCATTAGTCCACATTACAATATAATATTATCTTATCTGTGTTACTACTTACAATTCCCTTTCAACCATTTTTATATATATATGGATAGAAATTGAGTATACTAAATCATTCATTCAAAAATATCTTGTCTATAGCATACGGTTCACCCGTCATCCTCAACAGCAGATCAGCTGACCAAAGATGCTGCGAAGAAAGCTTACGGGTCGTGGTGTACTCCTGATACAAGCCCCACACACACTGCGTGAGTATACATGTGTCTTAAAACACGCTATTAAAGTTTTGTAGCGTTGTAACTTATATACACGTTAAGACAGATACTACTACTTTTCTTATGTTTAAGAGACACAGTTGCTAGGTGCCATCACATTTCAATTCAGCTTGTTGGCCTAGTTATTTTAAAGTAATTTCTAGTTATTTCAAAAGAAACCTAAAAAGCTACCTATTATTTCAGATTGACTAAAACTAACTCTAATGTTGAGAAGAAACCTCACATTCAAGATGAGGCACAGCAGAATACCTCGAAAGGGTAAGCATATTGGTTCTATGTCCTCAAAAGAATACAGGAATAAAATACATATAATAAAAACAAGTGTTCCGTCCCGATATCGCACTGGTGCTTTCCAAATTATTGAATTTCTTAAATTTTCTGTACTATAATATGCATGTGTATAGAGGAAGGTTTATGTGTACTATAGTACACATAACTGTCCTCTATCGAGTTTTTCAATAGGAAGGTACAATAGATATAATGTCATAATCCGTTGTAAATTAAACAATTTTTCTAATATATGTATGTGCTTATTGTTATAGATTAGTTTTCCAGTTGCATAAAGTACGCCTGTTCCCACCCAGTCCGTCATCTTCGTGCAAAGCACTAAGTAAAATTAAAGAAATAGACACAGAACTTCAAGATCTTAAAGAAACAAAGTCGAGGGAATTCTCTATTAGGAGGTTTGGGATAATTTACAAAACTTTTTTTTGTGTTTCCTATGTGTCCTATCGCTATAATCTAGACTAGTAGGTACACCCCTAGAAAACTACGCTGTCAAATAATCAATAATTTAATAGCGTCAAAAGACGTAATAAATCGCAGTTGTCTCAGAACTACAAGAGTTATACTGATGCTACCTTGCTAAACATTATAATTCTACATTTTAGATCAACCCCTATTAAAGAGAAGAAATTACCAGAGATAGAAACACCACAGAGTCCTGTACCGTCGTCTCCATGTAGAGAAAAAAAATGCAAGTGCTACTTTCATCTGCCCGCTTTCTGTGACCCATTCACTCCCGTCGATCCACAAGGTAGGTAACATACATATACATACATATGTCATTAATTGAATATAGGAACTTTTAAAATAAAATATTGGAATTCAGCCTTAATATAAAAATACATATTATAAAAACTTGCCAACCCCCGCAACTTCGTGTTCTTCTAATTTCCCTGTTCTTGGAATATTTTTCATTACAGTTCCATTCCTATTAGTCCTAGCGTGGTATTATACAGCCTACAACCTTAATTCATAAATAGGTTTTTCACACTAAAAGAATTTCAATTATGATTTTATGCGCGAGAACATTTTATATAAAAAAGTAGACAATAAATAGGTTTCACGTACATACTAATATTAGAAAGAGACAAATAACAATAACATTTATTCGTATAAACTTATTTTAATAGTTATATTTTCCACTACTCATTTAAAACGCAGTCTCATCACAGATCGAATGAACAAGAAAGTTGGCGTGATAGAGTGACAGCATAACTCAGTATATCAAACAATAATTATATGGGGAATTATATTTTGATTATACAAATTTAATGGGATTCTACCATGTAAGATCTTTCATGTTCTAATGTACTTTAATCAACTTAATCTGAACGTTCTCTGAAGTCCTTTCATATAATAAAAAATCTCAGCATGTAACTGAAAATGTTACAAGAATGTCTTTTTTACCTCTGAGTTTAGATATGACCTGTTAATATTAAAAAAAACATATAGCCACCGCTGGGCGCCAATTAACAAATTAACTTGTCTCGAGATGATCGATACATTCGTGTCATATTGGAACTTCTGAGGATAATTAGTATTAATAGCCTATTGTGTACTCTGTTTGTTATTCTATGTAATGTTATAATCTCTATGGTTATACTTACCACACACTTAAAATTATATGTGGATGTCAATTCGGTCATATAATATGTATGATATATTTGTTTAATTATAATTGTAATAAAATTATAATTTGGAATTAATAGTTTCTAGAAATAATTTATTCGGTAGTAAACAAAGTTATTAAATAGATATACCTTCAGGACTGTTATGCCAGATGAGGTAGTCTTGACGGCAATACTTGACATGTCCACATTTTACTCACAAGAGTATCATCCATCCATTCCATCACCGGAAGGTCGGTCAGATGTATAATTTTGCACGAATTAATAAACCTAGTGTCTAAAAACAAAAAACTAGAATACTAAACAAATATTACAGATGTACAGCTCCAAATGACTACCTACACGTTTAACGAAATACGTTCATATAACTACTATATCAAATTCAAAAATCATTTATTCATGTAGGACATTTTAGACGCTTATGTACGTCAAATTTTTTACATTATAATTTTGTTTTTTTCCCGACCGACCAGTTCAGTATATAGAACCAATTGAGAATTGAATTACTTCTTTTTTTTCTATCTAAGATTTGAATTGCTATCTAGCTCTGATGTTTTCAGGACGCGGCTACATAAGCTGGCTACTCCTAGTCACGTTTTGCTACAGCTACAATGCATGGTGTATTGTACTCCGTGCTACATTCCCATACCAAACCCCAAAGAATACTCCATATTGGATGGTCGCTGACTACTTGTGCGATCTTGTATACCTACTAGATGTGGCATTGGTGAAACCAAGACTCATGTTCTTACACGAGGGCTTCTGGGTAAACGATTCAGGCGAGACGAGAAGGAATTACAGGAAGAAGCTGCAATACAAAGTAATTACTTGCAATTTCTTCTATATATTTATATTTATAAGTAATGAAATGGTTGTTTGACCCTTAAATAGTTTAACATTCAGTAAGACTATAGACAAATAATATTAACGACAAACATTATTAATCTATTCTGAATATGACCACAGACTTTAACAATTGAGTCATCATCATTGCCTTGACTTTATCCCATTATTTGTGTCCCATTATTCTGTCGTCATCATTGTTATATTACTAGTAGGTATTATTCCTATGCGTGTATCACAGTTACTTGCTGCTTGCATTATTTTGTGTTGTCTTGTATCTATTTGTTGCATGTTGTTATGTATCTATATTATGTATGTATATATATGTAATATGTTATGTTATTCATTATTATTAATTTGTCATTATTATAATTATGTTTTTTTTTTTCTCTTCTATTCTAGTGCCACCTCCCACCTTTTGTTTTTTCTCCTCTACCCAAAGGTTGCCTGGAAGAGATTGCATAAGCGATAAGGCCGCCTTTTGTACCCTTAATTTTAATTACTCTATTAATGTAATTGCAATAAATGCAATAAAGAGTATATAAATAAATAAATTATTTGGGGTCATTTCTGAGCATACTCTCCTTTTATTCATATCATCTTTCACACAATCCATCCATCTTTTTATAGGGCATCTCTGATTACAATTAACTATAGTTAGTATATATGCATGTGCGTGTCTAATACAAGGTTGTAACGTTATTTTATCGAATTAATGTATGTTTTATGAAAAAAAAAATATTAGCATTCATACCATTCATAGTCGTGATTAATATTTTTATTTGTACACTTGTTCGTTAAAATTTAACGGTTTCGACAAATACAATTGGATTTTTCTAATCCGCAAAATTTTCGCATTCGTAGGTATAATCTATAATGTATTACGTTTACATATTTCCAGTTCGATGTGGTGTCTCTCCTTCCACTAGATTTATTGTACATCTACTTCGGAACACATAAGGTTATCCTTCGATTCCCAAGGATGTTGAAGCTACAGACGTTCTGGGAGTTCCACCAAGCTATGGACAGAGTGCTTTCTTCTCCTTACGTGGTAAGTGTAAATATATTTTTCTCTATATATTTCTTATTTGACTCATTACTCAACAACATGATAAAATTTGTTCCTAATTTGACCTTGATAATAACTTACTATAATTAATATCGCTTTGTACACTGAATATTAAAGAACCTCTTCCAAAATGATCTTTTTCCTACACTTGAAATATTTCTGTCAACACTCGGCACCCTTCCATTTGTTTACTCTTTTTTACTTTGTTTACTCGGCACCTTTCCATTTGTTTGATAAAGAGTCCGCATTAGGACTTCGCATTGAGTGTACGCGTACTAATAGACCATGTAGCTCTCTATCATATAAACTTACCAATGTAGTACAATAATTCCATCTGTATACTCACTACCAACATACTACAGGAAACATTAATTAAGTAGCGACACCTCATCACATCATGCAAAACGCCAAAATGGTTAAGTTAGGAGTAAATAAATAACGCGTTACATTCTCAGTAACTTCTCCAGTCCAAAATAAATCGGGCTTAGCGTTGCTACTATTTTTTATATGGATGATAATGGAATGGTGCACCCGCCTGCGCTAATGGTTTATGCTGGCGGGGCACCAGTGGGGGATGATAAGATGAACATGAGGTCAGGTCAGTTAGCCCATCATGACAAATATAACAGGAATTTTGCACTATGGTTTCCAGGGGGAACCGCGTGGGGGTCAACCTGACATAGTACATTGCTAGCAATAAAATCCACATTACTAACAATCCCCTGCATTACTACTTTTATTTTTTTATGGATGATAATGGTATGGAGCACCCGCCTGCGCTAACGGTTTACGCTGGCGGGGCGCCAGTGGTGGATGATAAGATGAACATCAGGCCAGGTCAGTTAACCCATCGTGACAAATTCACCAGGTAATTATCACGATGGTTTCCAGGGGGAACGGCGTGCAAGTCAGCCTGATATAATACATTGCTAGCAATGAAATCCAATTTACTAACAATCCCTATCCCCCTTACTATTTCTATTTATCTAGTTCAAAACAAATCAGATGTAGAGTTAGTAAAATATATAGATTTTATTTCTAATATTATTTTATTTCTATCCCAGGTTAGGATCGGTAAGACGTTGTTCTACATCTTCTATCTGATCCATCTGAACGCCTGTGCTTATTACGCGATGAGTGACTACATAGGACTGGGATCTAATGGATGGGTTTACGATGATGATGGCAACGCGTATATCCGCTGCTTTTACTTCGCGACTAAGACAGCCACGTCGATAGGCAAGAACCCTAAACCTGAGAACACTATTGAATATCTCTTTATGACCGCAGCCTGGCTAATGGGTGTGTTTGTGTTCGCGTTGCTGATTGGACAAATAAGGGACATTATTGCTACGGCCACTAGAGCTAGGGTAAGTACCACCATATTTAAAAAGAAAATAATTAAAAATAATAATCTAGGGCAATTTAAACAACCACGCAGTCGGGGTAGAATGCAGTGGGAAACACCTCGCTACGACATAGGCGCTAGTAGGTACACCGTGTGGTTTTTAGTGGATAAAATTTCACACACTGCCTCGCCATAGGTACCTACGGCGGGGTGATGATCTTTTGAAGATATTCCATACGTAAAAAAAAATAAAGACAATTTATACAGCAGCGTCTAGTTCTAAGAGTTTGTGTTATGGGTACTAAACAACATATAAATACTTTTTTTAAAACACAAAATATGCATAGAAAACAACTAGACCAAACAAAACAACTAAAGACTCATAAATACAAATGTTTGATAAAATAAATTGAAACGGGACCATCAGTAAACAACCCACCCCTCGGATTAATTATTAGTTTTGTTAACTAGTATTTTCCTTCAAAGGACAGTCAGTCAAAAATATAAATAGACACATTTTTTTGGTCCCAGCCAGATTTGAAAGTTCAATATCAAAGACCTTCAATTTGTAAGTCGGGATAGTAAACCACTAGGCCATGATAACTCAGAAAATACTATAGGCACATATTAAACTTTTCAGGCTGAATATCGTAAGTCAGTGGACGGATGTGTTCGGTATCTACGTAGACTCAACATGCCGGCCCCGTTGCAGCGACGGGTGACCTGCTGGTTCAACTACACATGGAGTCAGCAGAGGTGTTTCGGTTAGTTTGAAAGATAATAATAATATCTGGCGTATCGTGAATATATGTCTACATGAAGATACGGTAAACAATTAAAGATATTATAATTAAATACTTGTCCAGTATGACCAAGAAGTGAGATTAAATAAAAATAAAGAAACGATTCGAATGATATAAGAATTAAAAAAAAATACCCCTGGGCAGATCACGCAACGCTATCTAATCCCAAAGGTAAGTAGAACTTGTGTTATGGTTACTAGACAAGTGATATAAATACTTAGTTTTTTATTTTTGTAAAAACATGCATAATATATATAGAAAACATCCAGACCGATACAAACAATCATACTGAAGATATGTTACAAGTATTTCAATAGAACCCTCAACCGTCGGAAGTAAGGCAGTATGCTAAACTGCTTGACAACCGAGGTCAAATATGATTGAATTAAAGAACATTGAAATATTTACATAATATTTTTAATTTAGAGTGTGATTTGGACAAGGGAAATATATAATATAGTATACATACTAAAATCCAGCAAACTATTTTTTTTATTAAAAAAATAACACTTTTCTTTACACAATAGCATATCAATAGTATAATTACTGTCAATTTTTTATATCAATTTTAATTATTCAAAATAATAAATTAAAAAAATATATATAAATAAATTAAAAAATAACTTATTATGTCATAATTTTACATTGGAATTTAGATATTAAGTTATAAAAAATATATTGTTTCAAATATGATTGAATATGACATTACCTATGTACTTATTGCTGAACTTTTCACAGATGAGTCCAGGATATTGAACTCGCTCCCCTACAATATGAAACGAGACGTGGCACTAGCTGTTCACATGTCGACATTGAGTAAGGTTTGTAACTAACTATGTAAACAATAAATGCATTCGCATACATATTATATTCAAGTGTATTAAAATTTAATATGTAGGTATATTTTATAAACTCATTATTTTTAAAATTATAACTACCTGTTTAGTTAAAGTAAAGAATTTTATATATTTTGAAAGCATGTATATGCTGTGCGGTGGATAATGATATAATAATAATATTTCAGGACAAAGTTTTTGCGTATTAATATATAGATAACCCAGGCCAATTCACACAGGACGATGTAGTCCCAAGCTATGCAGTACAGTGTACGTAGCACGTAAGCAAAAAAATATGTAGGTAAGAGATTAGTTACTAATCTCTTACCTACATATTTTTTTGTATATACGTAAAATATATACATACATACATAAGCTAAGCAGCTCAGTATTATAGTTAATAATCTCTGACCTACATTTTTTTTTTTGTAAAAGCGAAATATATATACATACATACATACATACATATAAAAACACCCAAAAGTAAAAATAACCATGATACTTAAGAGTACAATCGAAAAATCGAATGCGGCTACCGAGGCTGTCAATGTCCACTAGTCATTGCTAACTATCCCCTTGTTCCCATCATGCGTGTAGGTGCAGCTGTTCCGCGACTGCTCGTCGTCTCTGCTGCGAGACCTGGTGCTGCAGCTGAGACCGGTGTCGTTCCTCCCAGCAGACGTGGTGGTCCGCCGCGGTGACGTGGGGCACCACATGTACATCATCAAGTCCGGGGAATGCTTCGTATGTATATATACCCTATTATAACACATATTATTATTGTTATCTAATAATATAGAAACAGGGCAAAGGAGTTGTAGTAAAGCGGACTGATAAACCCATTACTAGTAATGGGTTACAGCGTACAGTCTTAACTCATAGAGTTGAGATGTGTCAACTCGAGTTGTGATGAATTCGTGGTAACTCGAGTTGACTTCTCCCAACCCAGTAGGGAGAATTAATCTTGTATATTTATAAATGCCGGGACTTAAGAGAAATTCCATTGTTCAGAACATTTTCGAATAGCCAGTGAATAGACGTGTAAAATGTGAAAAACTCACGAATTTATTTTAAATATGTAGGAAATACGAACTCGTTAATTAATCAAGAAAAACATTCAAATAGGAGTAATTGACCTACAGCCATGCATGCGCTCCATAAATCCTTACGCGGGTTTGGAGTACCATTTCCATTCGCCCCTCGGTTTGGTGAAGCTGTGACAGCCAGCTGCGGCCAAAGTCGTTACAATAGTTCGCATCGTAAAAATAATGTTCACTCCAAGTAATTCGAGTAAACTAGAGTTACCTGAATTTCAACTCGAGATAACTCTAGTCATGTATATTACGAGTTAGCACATCTCTATCATAGAGCTTGAAGATTTTAGCTAACAAAAAGTCTTGTCCTAATGATCACTTAAGTAAATAAAGGGACTGGCCTGGCCATGGAGAAGCGTTCAATCGACTATTCTGTTAAAGGGTCAAGCTCCGCTGTTGTCGATATAGTACCAGGTTGATCGCCACGCAGTCCCTTGAAACCATCGTGAATATATTCCTGGTAATTTGCACCGAAGGGCTAACTGACCTGACTTCATGTTTATCCTATCATCCTTCACTGTTGCTCCAGTAGTGTAAACCGCTAAAACCGAAACCGACGGTTGCACCGTTTTTTTTTAAGTTAAATTGGGTTAACTTAGTTAAGTCTACAGACTTAAGAGTTCTCTACGCACTAAATTTACGATATACGTATTAGTTTTATCTTCCCCATTATTCGTTTTATCTCACTCTTTTATCTCGTTTTATATTCAGAGACCTTGCATCTCCACTCACCCAAGCGCGATAGCAATACTTTCAATCAGAATTTTGTCGTATATACATATTTACTTTCTGTTCTATAAAGCTTACTTATAGAACAGAAACATAAAAGGTATTTTTATTTTTAGTTTCTTTAAAAATGCATTTTATTGTATGACGATTTTGGAATTTATACTGATATTTAGAGAAATGGTACAGGTAATGTCTGTAGATGAAAGCGAAGTCCTGGCTACTCTGAGGGAGGGATCGGTCTTCGGCGAGATCAGTTTACTTGGCATCGATGGACTGCGACGAAGAACCGCTACTGTCAGGTTAATTCTTCTATAATTTTATCATATATTTGATTTTCCAGAAACACGTTTAAGATTTCTAATTATCAATAACTTTATAATTATGTTTGTGGTCCATAGTCAACTGTCCGCTATTTTCCATGATAATTAATGGTTAACAAAAGGCGGTAAAGCACGCACGATTAAAGACGCGGAAATTTAAAAAATAACAGATTCCGCGGCTACTCAAACATGTTCGCGCTATCCCGTAACGACCAGTACCACAATTAGGTGGCTCAGGTGCTGTAGTTACAGTATCAGCATCCATTAATACAAATGAAAAATAACAGATCCCGCGGCTACTCAAACCTATTCGCGCTATCCCGTAACGACCTGAACGCGGCACTGCGTCACCACAAGGAGGCGGCACAAGTGCTGCGGCTGCGTGCAGACCAGATAATCAGGGAGAACGCGGCGCGGCAGACCAAGCAGCGGCTGGCGGCGGCGGCGGCGCGGCGGCGCTCGGGCGGCGGCCGCTCCGAGGGCCGGCGCCGCCCGTCCGCCCCCCGCGACCGCAGCCGCCGCCCGCGCTCCGCCGCGCCCCACAGACGACTCTCCGCGGTCTCCGAGGACAAGGTATGGCTAAAACGACATTTCCAGGGCCGTATAAATAATTATAAAAAAAGGACTAGGTATATTTTTGTATTGGTTCAAAATTATAAAAAAAAAACATTAAAAAATAATTGCATCTGCATAATTAACACATGCATTTTTTTTCTTTTGTGATGTGAATACATGCAATGCCGGAATTGAAGGTGCATTGCCAGTCTTTTAAGAGATAAGTTCTTTCAAGTTGTTCGATGATGCCTATGGCTACCTTTAGCGCTCCGCCTCTGCGCTAAAAAACGACTTTGTACAGTCTTATTCTGGTAAATGTTTATAGGCGACATTTATAATTACTTTATAAAAATCTTCCTACCAAACGAAATACAGCAATTACTATCATGACAGAAGAAATGTGTAAAATATAGAATAAAATAGTTTTTGTTGTTAATAAAGTAGCATTTGTTAAAGTAAATTAGTTAAATTAGTAATTTATTTAAATACGTTAGTTAATTAGTAAGTCCATATTTTTTGTGCCAATCATTAATAAATAAATAATTAATCTTGCGATATAACCTTTATGGACGCTACGTGTTACATCGCATTCCAAGAGGAGGACATCCGAAGCATCTAAGAAAGAGGTAACATTGACAGAGAAATAGAGATAAAGGAACAAAGAACAGATTTTGTTAAAAAAGCTTACATTATTTTAGTGAATAATAAATAATAATAATAATAATAAAACTCTTTATTGTGTACACATAAAATAATGAGAAAATACAGTAAATAGTAAAATAATAACAAAAGGCGGTCTTATCGCTAAATGCAATCTCTTACTGACAACCTAGAAGAGAGGACTTATGTACATAGAATAGGGTAGGTGGCACACATAAGACACTATTTATTATACTACTAGATATACATACTTACATTAGGGATAAATATATAAACCTACATATATACATACATATATACTACATATTGGAAGAAATGAGAAAAAAAATAAAATAAAAAAATGTACTATGAAGAGAGATAATGAGATCTTAGTCTATTTTTAAATGATGCATGTGTTTGAGCTGATCGAATGGAGAGTGGTAGAGTTCCAGAGGCGAATGGCTTGGACAGTGAAGGAGTTGGAATAATATGTGGAGGAGTGAGCAGGGATCGTCAAACATAGGCTTCTGGTACTACGCAAAGCAGAACCGGGGGATTTAATATGAAATTGGAACTTGGTTTTTAGATATTCAGGGGTGGAGGGGTGGAAAAGAATAGAGTAAAGGAGGGATAATATATGAAAATTCCTGCGAAGACGAATGGGAAGCCACTTGAGTTGACTGCGAAAATTGGAAATGTGGTCATACTTACGGAGACCAAAAATGAATCGTATGCACATATTTTGGAGTCGCTCAAGTTTATTTAATTGCTCTTCAGTGAGATTTACATAGCAGGAATCCGCATAATCTAGGATTGGAAGTAATAGGGTATGTGCGAGCGCAGTCTTGGTGTCAACTGGCAGGAAGTACCGTAACCTGTTAATGCTTCCGATAGCAGCAAACATTTTACGACTCAGCTGTGATATTTGATGCGACCAGGACAAGGTTTCGTCAAAATGAATCCCAAGATTTTTTATCTGAACGCAGTATTCTATGTCGTGACCATTAAAGGAGACTGGTGGAAGACTATTCAAGTCTAATTTAGATAAATAATATGGACTTCCGATAATCATGCACTGTGTTTTTTTTGGATTCAGTAAAAGGCCATAAGCTTTACTCCAGTCAGAGATATATGCGAGGTCAAGATTTATATCGCGAACAGCATCGGTAATATTACACAGAGCAGCATGTGAGTAAATTTGTAGGTCATCTGCATATAGGTGGTAGGATGAACGAAGATGAAGGGTGATAGAATTTATAAATAAAGCGAAAAGAAGAGGAGATAATACGCCACCCTGAGGTACGCCCGCAGTCGTTGTGCACCAGGATGAACTGATATCATCGATACGAATACGCTGCCGACGCCCATACAGGTAAGTCCGAAACTAATCAATTACCGTTGGAGATATGTTAAGAGAACGTAGCAAACTGAGTAAGATGTCGAAATCTACGGTATTGAATGCATTACTAAAATCCAATAGCGTTAGTAGTGTCAGCTGCGATTTATCCATACCAAGTCGAATGTCATCGGTGATCTTGATTAGAGCAGTAGTCGTGCTATGACCGGGGCGGAAACCAGATTGGAGGGGATTTAGAAGATTATTTGTGTAAAGGAAATTGTAAATTTGTTTATGGACAAGCCTTTCTAAGACTTTAGAAAGGAATGGAAGAATGGAAATAGGTCGATAATCTGAAAAACTCAGAGGGTTTTTGGTTTTGGATAGAGGAATTATATGCGCATCTTTCCAGGAAGTCGGGAAGAAGGCTGATGATATGGAATAGTTGAAGATAAAAGTAATGGTTGGTAGGATAATATCAAGGATGGGAACAATCATAGCACGACTGACATTATCATTTCCCATGGCATTCGACGATATAGCAAGTATATTTCTCTTAACATCACAATCGGAAAATTGAGTAAAAGAAAAGGAAGATATATCAGGAGTTGATAAATTGGAAAGAATATTGATTGTGCTTAATTTGTCATTATTGTCAAAACCAACGGAAGAGCAGAAATGCTTGTTAAGGCTTTCGAAGTCAATATCACATTTAGCGGAATTTTGAGCTTTCCCAACTCCCAATGTTCTGAGAAATTTCCAGACCTTAGCTGGATCACCGTTCTCTACAGATTTGTGAATGTGGCGACGTTGTGCATGCCTACAAGCCCTATTGCAGAGATTCCTTGCTTCAATGTAATATTCACGATATTTATCAGGATTGGATCTAAATTTAGCCTTGGCCTTATTCTTTTTAACCTGAAGAGCTTTAATCTCATCAGTCAACCAGGGAGCAGGAAGATGTTTAACTCGTACTGGTCGAACGGGTGCATGTCGGCCGTAAAGTTCCAGCAAAACTGAGTTAAACAAATTAATTTGGTCATCCACAGACGTTGCTTTGTGAACAGATTCCCAGTCCGCGACAGATGCATCGTTACGCAATTTTGTCTGATCAATACTACCAAAACTACGCCGCATTATAACTTTGTGTTTAGGTTTAGGAGGTCGGATTTTGTAGGAAAGATAAATGAGATTGTGGTAGGAGAACGCATCTGCAGGACACTGACCATGCCTAGTTACATGATTAAGGGAGGAGACAAACATAAGATCTAAAAGAGAAGGATTGCAGTTTGGAAAGAAGTGAGTCGGCTGTGAAGGAAGAATACTTAGGTTACATGAATTAGCAAGACACATGAGGCGGTTGGCCCGGTGGTCGTTTTTCAGTAAACATGTATTAAAATCGCCCATAAGAATGGTATGATTAAAGGAGGGGATAAGACTTTCTAGGGTGTTTTCAAGGAAAGAGAAATAATCAATGGAGGACGAGGGACTATAAAAAACGCCTAGAAGAGTTTTAGAGTGCAAGAAATCAACATTAATAAAAATAAATTCTGGTTCTAGAGAAGGGTTGGATGTATCAGAGGAGAGGATAATTTTATAGGAAATATAATCACGAAGGTAAATGGCAACTCCACCACCACTCCCCTTAACACGATCATTACGGATCAGGTTAAAACCGGGCAAAGAATAGGAGACAGATGGAAGACAAGGTTTTAACCATGATTCTGAAATCAAAACGGCATGCAAATTATCAACGTTAAAAGATGTTAGAAAATCAGGAAAATGGGCCGGAATACTTTGAGCATTAATATGCACCACATTAAAATTTTTCGCGGTATTATCAAAGTTAATATTTAAAGTTTCATTAAGGGGAATAAAATCATTATATGTAGAATTATAACTAGAAGACGAACTCGAAAATGAAGAATAATGATCCTCTTCCAACATATATTTATAAACTAATTAATAAAAATAAATAATATAATAAACAAATAATAGCTAAATAAATATAACTGTTACAAAAGTTATATTTATCAAATATTTCAAAATTATCATCTACCTGCACATATAGATCTCCAGTAAAATATAAATATTTTTACAAATAACAATATTACTAAAGTTTTAATATACAGAAACAAAGAAAAAAAAAAATAATAATAAATAAAAACAAAAATCAAGTATGTGAACGGAACGTCACTAAGAAAATTATTTTAAGTGCTGACAACACTAATCAAGACAGACAATGACATTTAAATTTGACACTATACAGATACACTTGACATTCACTTGACAGTTTTAAATACACAAAGATTTCTTTAGCTTAATTGACATTTGATCTAATTGTTTACGAAAAATATATTTAAAACATAATTCGTAGGTAAGATAAAAAATAAGAATTGCTAGGGTAAAACAAAATAGAAAGTGCGTATACTACAGTGATACAGTAACAAGAAAACTCAACATAAAATAATAATGTACAATAACTACTTTCTATGGCGTTTAGATCGAGCCGTAGCAACAGAAGGGTCTTTGGCAATAACTGGGGTCGATGCAGATTGTACTGCTGTGGCTGGCAAAGAGCTAATCAGCTGGTTTAGCTCACTACAACAGCTTATGCGATGCCTTGTACCATCACCATCAGCGACAACGATGTAGCCATCATGCGACCAACACTTTTTAATGCCAAAGTGTTGTCGAGCTGCCATGAATACGCTGTGTCTGGCCGCAGTCATAAATTCTGACATGGTGATCCCGCTGCCCTTAAGTTTAGTCTTAGCATACCATACCTCATTCCTTACGTCTAAGTCGCGGAACTTCACAACTATTGGACGAGGCTTCTCTTTTAATGATCGACCAAGACGATGACACCGAGAGATTTGCCCTGCAGTGAAGTCCTCTATGTCCAGTTTGTCCATAATGACCTTTGCTACCACCTGAGCTACAGATTCCTGTTGTGACTCCGGCACTCCATGCAGCAACATCATTTTGCGTCGACTACGCATCTCCATCTGTTCTTGTTGGCGGGCGATAATTTCCACTTGCTTCTGAAGACTAGTGAGTGCAGTTGTGATAAAGCTTCGGAAAGTGACAAAATCAGATTCAAGTGAAGGCACAGTAGCTGGTGTGTTGTTCGCCTTCTGCAACTGGTTTTGGAACTCAGCCATAGTCTTATTAAAGTGCTCCATCATACCCGCCATTGTATTGTGCAGTGTGTCCATTTTATATGATATGGAGTGAAAAGAACGAAAGGAAAATTATCACAGCAGGTAGATAATAGATTAAATTTAGAAATGCATATAAGTAAAATTAAAAATCTTTGTGTTAAATAATTAACAAATAAATTTTAAATAGAGAGGTGTAATAAATTCGTCTGTTGTGTTTCACAGCTACCCACAAAAAAAAGAAAAGTGAAATAGGTTATTATTTTGTTAATATTTACAAACCTCACAAAGTTATGATGTCGTTTTCGGTTAAAACACGTGTGTTGAATAAAATAAATATAGAGGTCTTAACTAATGAATATTTATCCGATCAGAAAAAATATATTAATATTAGTAAACTTGTTCACTTATTAATTGTAATTTAATTTGAAAATATATATTTTTTTATTTCTGCAGGCGCATACGGGACGTGGCTCACTAGTATCGGGATGTGGCGTAGTTCGCGCGCCCATACCGACCATCGTATTATCTCCGACTATTAGATAAATGCATTATATTTAATAAATACTTACTCGTCAATGTTAGATTATTAATTATGTATACGAAAACATATGAATATTATGTCTAGCCAAATACATGTAATTGTATCTCTCATGAATGTTAATAGTATTCTTTATGTACCTGCTGTGAATAAAATTTTTATTACTCAGTGCTTGTTTTAGTGACCCTTTAATTTAAGTATAATATTTTATGTATTATAATTCTCGTATCATAATTAGTTACCATACTCCTTCGAAACGCTTGACCGATTTTTATAAAATTTTATATGCATATTCAGTAGGTCTGAGAATCGGCTACTATCTATTGTTTATACTCCTAAGTGATAACATTTATTTTTTGGACATAATTTAATTTTTTTATAATGTGGCCTTAAAAAAGACATATAACCCTAAATTTTCACCTTTCTATCATAAATCCTTATTTTTAATAGCGATAGAATATACTAGAACTTTTTAAACGTATATTCTCATTATGGCGCCCAACGTGGAACCACAAAACGCTTCTTTGTTTTATAAGTTTCTAGGTAAATCAGATATATATATATATATATATATATATATATATATATAAATATCCCCTTGGGCACTTTGTGGCTCAGACGTGCCGTATAGGTAGTTTTTTGTTGATCCTTTTTCACTTGTTGATCCGGAGGCCTTTTGTTGATCTAATGCCAGATGACCATATGTAAATGTTGCTCCGTTTTGAGCCACAACTGTCACGACGAGTAATAATAATAATTAAGTGATTTATACACGATTTTATACAAATCCACCTTTTTGGCATACGAGCAGTTCTTGATCCAATTCAAACGGGCCAATCAGGGTGCAGCATTTGCCAAGGGCTTCCTCATTGGCACGTTTGGGCTACTACATTATGGCTACAGTAACTTAATAATGTCTAGCTAGTATTTCAAGAATAATAGTCTATCTAATCTAAATATTTATAGAAATCAGTCTGGAGTAACGTGACTCCAGATCAAACCTCAATACTTGTTATTTTTTGGACGGGAATCTTTTCTTTTGTAACAACGTTACTGAGCGAATAAAGAGAAGACGCAACGGCGGATCCAGGGGGGAGCGTCATGGAGGTCATGGGAGTCATGGGGGCGTCATGACTCCTCCGTCCCCCCTCTTAGCCCAGGACTTAGGTAGACCACTAATTGAACTAAAAAATAATGAAACAGCAATTTTTTTTGCACGATCGGGGTGTTGGTGCAGTAGTATTAATTATAATTAAACATTGTTACTTAAAATATAACAGTTAAAGTACTATAACACTAAAAGCAAAATAGGTATTTTCAAAATACTTTTTCAAAATAAATTACCCTTTGAGTTTTTGTCCAAACCTCAGATATTTTATTTATTTTAGGTATATCAATCATTACATAGTATAGTATAGTATAAAACAAAGTCGCTGTCGCATCTAACAAGTACATAAATAAAGAAAGAAGACTTTTTGGCTCTGAATATATTTCAAAAATCAATTACTTGTGTTAATCAATTTATATACTCGTTCTTATTTCATAGTACTTGTTTTGATCCAAATATATACAGATACCGTAACGGTCTATTAATTATGAATTTATTATACCTAACCTAGATATTTTATTTTGACGAAACTCCGTGTAGTAGTAGTATCCGATAAGGGTATGCGAACCCTAAGTATTATTTCAAAATGGCCAGTAATTTCAAAGAAATAAGCCTTTGAATTTCAAATCAACTTAACAAACGGACGCTCAAGGTTCGATTCCCGCCATAGATTTTTATTTACTATTTTTTTTTGTTTTGACTTTATTTTATATTTTAAATTAACTATATTAATAATTAAATGAATTTAATCGAACAAAAAGTTGTCAAGTATTAAATTAATTTTAATTTACATTAACTATTATACTTTCTAAATTGTAAAGCAGCTAACAATTATAGTAAGATCTTATAAATAATTAACACAACAACATTTCAAATGTATTTTCTTTATTATTACAAAATATTTTTTGTGCATGCTATAATAGTTAATGTCACTTAAAATTTATTTAATATTTAAAAACGTTTTTATCGATTAAATTCATTTAATTATTAAAATAGTTAATTTTAAATATTACTCTAAAAAAAAAACAAAAAGTCAATGGTGGTAATCGAACCCGGGGTGTCTGTGTGGTAAGTTGGTACACAGGTACACTCCTAACTAGTAAAATTAATTTAATACTTAACTACGTTTTTCTCGTATAAATTAATTTAATTATTAAAATATTAAATTAAAAAAAATTACAAAAAAAGAAGTAAATAACAATAGTCAATGGTGGGAATCGAACCCGGGATGTCTGTGTGGTAAGTTGGTACACAGGTACACTCCTAACTAGTAAAATTAATTTAATACTTAACTACGTTTTTATCGTATAAATTAATTTAATTATTAAAATATTAAATTAAAAAAAAACAAAAAGAAGTAAATAACAATAGTCAATGGTGGGAATCGAACCCGGGGTGTCTGTGTGGTAAGTTGGTACACAGGTACACTCCTAACTAGTAAAATTAATTTAATACTTAACTACGTTTTTCTCGTGTAAATTAATTTAATTATTAAAATTTTAAATTAATAAAAAACAAAAAGAAATAAATAACAATAGTCAATGGTGGGAATCGAACCCGGGGTGTGTAAGTTGGTACATAGGTACACTACCAACTAGGCCATTCTACTTTTGTTCATTCTTGTGAAAAAACTAGTATACATATAAGTTACACGTACAATTTCAAAGGCTTATTTCTTTAAAACTACTGACCATTCTGAAATAAAACTTTAGGGTTTGCATATGTAATGTTTGCATATAAAATATGATTAAAGGTTACCAGTGTATTTACACTTTTACTGAACAAACAGAGTTGTTTAGTACTGAAAATATTGTGTGGATATCAATCAATCAATCCATCCATCAATTACTTTCAGTGCACTTATAGCTTTGATCTTTTCCTAATTATTATTATTAAGTTTTAAAGTGGTTGAATTTTGCGTAGAGTGTTTTTATACGTTATTTCTAATTTACCATTTATTTTAAGTTTTTTAAACTCTATTCATCGAGACCAATCTAATGAGTCCAAACACGATATTTCTGCTGTAAGTTTTCGAAGAGTATGTTCATCATCTGATAATACTGGTGCCAGCATGAAGTCAAGGTTAACAGATAACTAATTACTCTTATTTCGTCAAAATCTTTAGATTACGTATAATAAATTCATAATATCGCTACCTATTCGGATCAAAACAAGTATTTTAGGTACTTCATGTACTAGTATATAAATTCATCAACACACAAGTAAATGATTTTTTAAATATATTCAGAGCCAAAAAGTTTTTGTGCATTTAAAAAAATTTGCTAATACGGAGTCACTATTGCAGGAAATTGTTGAAAAAATATATATCGAGTACAGGTACTATCGACGAATACTTTATCTAGGGAACACGCGGGAACGCGGAACGGCAACATGTTGCCGTTCCGCCACGATACCGTTATAGTGATAGAAAGAGAGAGACAGCGGAATCAGCAAATGTATCTACGGGTCGTGGCTGGATCAACATCGTGTGCAACTAAGTGCGCGTATATATATATATATACTTGTCTTTAATTCAAAGGAAATATAAATAATGAACGCATCACATTTAAAACAGCAATAAGTACGTAATATTATCACATTATCAAACAGTAAGTACGTAATATTATCACATGGTAACAGCACGTATTACGGCAAAAATAAACATCGGCTGATTTGAAAAGATTTATTATAGTAATAATAGTAATCTCAGGACAATTCACACAGCTTCATCTAGACCCAAGTTAAGCTAGCTGAACATTGTGTTATGGGTACCAGACAACTGATACAAATACAAAGATTTTATTCGTAAATTAATATATATTATCGATACATAGAAAACACCCAGACCGTTACAAACAATCATACTCATGAATACAAATGTTTGCAGCGTGCGAGGAATCGAACCCTCGACCACCAAGCAGGAATCAAAGCGGTGTGCTAGCTGAATCGCTAGACTACCGACAACTAGCTGTACACGCGACTTCGTTCGCGTGGAATGTAACTTCATAAATAATAGTTTTTGACTACGAGCATATGAATATAAATACGGTACATATACTAAAATTTATTTTTATACAATTTTTGTCTGTCTGTCTGTCTGTTTGTTCCGGCTAATCTCTGAAATGGCTGGACCGATTTTGATGGGACCTTTTTTGACAGGTAGCTGATGTAATAAGGAGTAACTTAGGCTACTTTTATTTTAGAAAAATAAATTTAAATTCCACACGGACGAAATCCCGAGTACAGCTACTCATCAATAAAAAAAACACGTAGGTATCTCTAATATATTATAATATATTAGAGATACCTACGTGTTTTTTATATGTGGGAATAGCTAGTGTATAACACTAGCTATTCCCGCGACTTCGTCCGCGTGGTTTTTAACTTTATTTTTCTAAAATAAAAGTAGCCTAAGTTACTCCTTATAAATCGGTCCAGCCATTTCAGATATTAACCGGAACAAACAGACCGACAGACAAAAATTATAAAAATTGTTAATTTGGTATATGTACCTTATATATATTCATATGCATGTAGTAAAAAACGGTTATTTCAATATTACAAACAGACACTCCAATTTTATTTATATGTATAGATTATTATTTATTTATTTATTTATTCATCCAAAATAATACAAATTGTGTAGGATAACGTAATAGTAACATTACAGTAAAATTTTGTAAACAACAGAATAGTAACTTAAACATTAAATCTCGGTATATCTATAGACTAGCTGGCCCCAGCGACTTCGTCCGCGTGAAATTTTATTTTATTTTTCTAAAATAACAGTAGCGTAAGTTACTCCTTATTACATCAGCGACTTGCCAAAAAAAGTCCCGTCAAAATCGGTCCAGCTATTTCAGAGATTAGCCGGAACAAACAGACAGACAGACAGACAAAACTTGTAAAATATGTTATTTTGGTGTATGTACCGTATTTATATTCATATGCAAGTAGTAAAAAACGGTTATTTCAATATTACAAACAGACACTCCAATTTTATTTACATGTATAGATGTATAGATTAAAAAAAAGTAACAGTCATAAGGCTAGTCGTATG